CTTTTGAGTCGACTCAGAACTCGTCTGCTTGGGCTTCCTCGTGTGCATGTGCTGTGATACACTCATGCCTTTTGAGTCGACTCAGAACTCGTCTGCTTGGGCTTCCTCGTGTGCATGTGCTGTGATACACTCATGCCTTTTGAGTCGACTCAGAACTCGTCTGCTTGGGCTTCCTCGTGTGCATGTGCTGTGATACACTCATGCCTTTTGAGTCGACTCAGAACTCGTCTGCTTGGGCTTCCTCGTGTGCATGTGCTGTGATACACTCATGCCTTTTGAGTCGACTCAGAACTCGTCTGCTTGGGCTTCCTCGTGTGCATGTGCTGTGATACACTCATGCCTTTTGAGTCGACTCAGAACTCGTCTGCTTGGGCTTCCTCGTGTGCATGTGCTGTGATACACTCATGCCTTTTGAGTCGACTCAGAACTCGTCTGCTTGGGCTTCCTCGTGTGCATGTGCTGTGATACACTCATGCCTTTTGAGTCGACTCAGAACTCGTCTGCTTGGGCTTCCTCGTGTGCATGTGCTGTGATACACTCATGCCTTTTGAGTCGACTCAGAACTCGTCTGCTTGGGCTTCCTCGTGTGCATGTGCTGTGATTCACTCATGCCTTTTGAGTCGACTCAGAACTCGTCTGCTTGGGCTTCCTCGTGTGCATGTGCTGTGATTCACTCATGCCTTTTGAGTCGACTCAGAACTCGTCTGCTTGGGCTTCCTCGTGTGCATGTGCTGTGATACACTCATGCCTTTTGAGTCGACTCAGAACTCGTCTGCTTGGGCTTCCTCGTGTGCATGTGCTGTGATACACTCATGCCTTTTGAGTCGACTCAGAACTCGTCTGCTTGGGCTTCCTCGTGTGCATGTGCTGTGATACACTCATGCCTTTTGAGTCGACTCAGAACTCGTCTGCTTGGGCTTCCTCGTGTGCATGTGCTGTGATACACTCATGCCTTTTGAGTCGACTCAGAACTCGTCTGCTTGGGCTTCCTCGTGTGCATGTGCTGTGATACACTCATGCCTTTTGAGTCGACTCAGAACTCGTCTGCTTGGGCTTCCTCGTGTGCATGTGCTGTGATACACTCATGCCTTTTGAGTCGACTCAGAACTCGTCTGCTTGGGCTTCCTCGTGTGCATGTGCTGTGATACACTCATGCCTTTTGAGTCGACTCAGAACTCGTCTGCTTGGGCTTCCTCGTGTGCATGTGCTGTGATTCACTCATGCCTTTTGAGTTGACTCAGAACTCGTCTGCTTGGGCTTCCTCGTGTGCATGTGCTGTGATTCACTCATGCCTTTTGAGTCGACTCAGAACTCGTCTGCTTGGGCTTCCTCGTGTGCATGTGCTGTGATACACTCATGCCTTTTGAGTCGACTCAGAACTCGTCTGCTTGGGCTTCCTCGTGTGCATGTGCTGTGATTCACTCATGCCTTTTGAGTTGACTCAGAACTCGTCTGCTTGGGCTTCCTCGTGTGCATGTGCTGTGATTCACTCATGCCTTTTGAGTCGACTCAGAACTCGTCTGCTTGGGCTTCCTCGTGTGCATGTGCTGTGATACACTCATGCCTTTTGAGTCGACTCAGAACTCGTCTGCTTGGGCTTCCTCGTGTGCATGTGCTGTGATACACTCATGCCTTTTGAGTCGACTCAGAACTCGTCTGCTTGGGCTTCCTCGTGTGCATGTGCTGTGATACACTCATGCCTTTTGAGTCGACTCAGAACTCGTCTGCTTGGGCTTCCTCGTGTGCATGTGCTGTGATACACTCATGCCTTTTGAGTCGACTCAGAACTCGTCTGCTTGGGCTTCCTCGTGTGCATGTGCTGTGATACACTCATGCCTTTTGAGTCGACTCAGAACTCGTCTGCTTGGGCTTCCTCGTGTGCATGTGCTGTGATACACTCATGCCTTTTGAGTCGACTCAGAACTCGTCTGCTTGGGCTTCCTCGTGTGCATGTGCTGTGATACACTCATGCCTTTTGAGTCGACTCAGAACTCGTCTGCTTGGGCTTCCTCGTGTGCATGTGCTGTGATACACTCATGCCTTTTGAGTCGACTCAGAACTCGTCTGCTTGGGCTTCCTCGTGTGCATGTGCTGTGATACACTCATGCCTTTTGAGTCGACTCAGAACTCGTCTGCTTGGGCTTCCTCGTGTGCATGTGCTGTGATACACTCATGCCTTTTGAGTCGACTCAGAACTCGTCTGCTTGGGCTTCCTCGTGTGCATGTGCTGTGATACACTCATGCCTTTTGAGTCGACTCAGAACTCGTCTGCTTGGGCTTCCTCGTGTGCATGTGCTGTGATACACTCATGCCTTTTGAGTCGACTCAGAACTCGTCTGCTTGGGCTTCCTCGTGTGCATGTGCTGTGATACACTCATGCCTTTTGAGTCGACTCAGAACTCGTCTGCTTGGGCTTCCTCGTGTGCATGTGCTGTGATACACTCATGCCTTTTGAGTCGACTCAGAACTCGTCTGCTTGGGCTTCCTCGTGTGCATGTGCTGTGATACACTCATGCCTTTTGAGTCGACTCAGAACTCGTCTGCTTGGGCTTCCTCGTGTGCATGTGCTGTGATACACTCATGCCTTTTGAGTCGACTCAGAACTCGTCTGCTTGGGCTTCCTCGTGTGCATGTGCTGTGATACACTCATGCCTTTTGAGTCGACTCAGAACTCGTCTGCTTGGGCTTCCTCGTGTGCATGTGCTGTGATACACTCATGCCTTTTGAGTCGACTCAGAACTCGTCTGCTTGGGCTTCCTCGTGTGCATGTGCTGTGATACACTCATGCCTTTTGAGTCGACTCAGAACTCGTCTGCTTGGGCTTCCTCGTGTGCATGTGCTGTGATACACTCATGCCTTTTGAGTCGACTCAGAACTCGTCTGCTTGGGCTTCCTCGTGTGCATGTGCTGTGATACACTCATGCCTTTTGAGTCGACTCAGAACTCGTCTGCTTGGGCTTCCTCGTGTGCATGTGCTGTGATTCACTCATGCCTTTTGAGTTGACTCAGAACTCGTCTGCTTGGGCTTCCTCGTGTGCATGTGCTGTGATTCACTCATGCCTTTTGAGTCGACTCAGAACTCGTCTGCTTGGGCTTCCTCGTGTGCATGTGCTGTGATACACTCATGCCTTTTGAGTCGACTCAGAACTCGTCTGCTTGGGCTTCCTCGTGTGCATGTGCTGTGATACACTCATGCCTTTTGAGTCGACTCAGAACTCGTCTGCTTGGGCTTCCTCGTGTGCATGTGCTGTGATACACTCATGCCTTTTGAGTCGACTCAGAACTCGTCTGCTTGGGCTTCCTCGTGTGCATGTGCTGTGATACACTCATGCCTTTTGAGTCGACTCAGAACTCGTCTGCTTGGGCTTCCTCGTGTGCATGTGCTGTGATACACTCATGCCTTTTGAGTCGACTCAGAACTCGTCTGCTTGGGCTTCCTCGTGTGCATGTGCTGTGATACACTCATGCCTTTTGAGTCGACTCAGAACTCGTCTGCTTGGGCTTCCTCGTGTGCATGTGCTGTGATACACTCATGCCTTTTGAGTCGACTCAGAACTCGTCTGCTTGGGCTTCCTCGTGTGCATGTGCTGTGATACACTCATGCCTTTTGAGTCGACTCAGAACTCGTCTGCTTGGGCTTCCTCGTGTGCATGTGCTGTGATACACTCATGCCTTTTGAGTCGACTCAGAACTCGTCTGCTTGGGCTTCCTCGTGTGCATGTGCTGTGATACACTCATGCCTTTTGAGTCGACTCAGAACTCGTCTGCTTGGGCTTCCTCGTGTGCATGTGCTGTGATACACTCATGCCTTTTGAGTCGACTCAGAACTCGTCTGCTTGGGCTTCCTCGTGTGCATGTGCTGTGATACACTCATGCCTTTTGAGTCGACTCAGAACTCGTCTGCTTGGGCTTCCTCGTGTGCATGTGCTGTGATACACTCATGCCTTTTGAGTCGACTCAGAACTCGTCTGCTTGGGCTTCCTCGTGTGCATGTGCTGTGATACACTCATGCCTTTTGAGTCGACTCAGAACTCGTCTGCTTGGGCTTCCTCGTGTGCATGTGCTGTGATACACTCATGCCTTTTGAGTCGACTCAGAACTCGTCTGCTTGGGCTTCCTCGTGTGCATGTGCTGTGATACACTCATGCCTTTTGAGTCGACTCAGAACTCGTCTGCTTGGGCTTCCTCGTGTGCATGTGCTGTGATACACTCATGCCTTTTGAGTCGACTCAGAACTCGTCTGCTTGGGCTTCCTCGTGTGCATGTGCTGTGATACACTCATGCCTTTTGAGTCGACTCAGAACTCGTCTGCTTGGGCTTCCTCGTGTGCATGTGCTGTGATACACTCATGCCTTTTGAGTCGACTCAGAACTCGTCTGCTTGGGCTTCCTCGTGTGCATGTGCTGTGATACACTCATGCCTTTTGAGTCGACTCAGAACTCGTCTGCTTGGGCTTCCTCGTGTGCATGTGCTGTGATACACTCATGCCTTTTGAGTCGACTCAGAACTCGTCTGCTTGGGCTTCCTCGTGTGCATGTGCTGTGATACACTCATGCCTTTTGAGTCGACTCAGAACTCGTCTGCTTGGGCTTCCTCGTGTGCATGTGCTGTGATACACTCATCTCATGCCATCATTCCACTGGATCAGCTGCTGCCACATCTTTCCCCACTCACTCAACAGCCTTTCACCCTCTCGCTCCTCCAAATCGTCCCCCGTTTGACCCCACTCCCTTGTACCCAACCTCTCTACCCAACCCCTCCTTTAACCCCCTATGCTGAACCCCTCTTCCCAACCCTTCTCCCCACCATTCGCCCCACCCCCTCTTCCCAACCCTCTCCCCGCCCCCTCTTCCCCCCCCTCCCTCCCCCCCCCCTCCCAGCTGTCCATCCTAGCGCACGGCATGAGGGACATCAGCACAGCAGATGCAATCTTTGAGTCAACTCAACCCACCCACCCCCCCTTCCTCCCCTCTCTCGCCCCCGCTCCCCCCCCTCCCCAGCTCTCCATGCTAGCGCACGGGCTGAGGGACATCAGCACAGCAGACGCGGAGGACCCGGGGAACCGAGAGGCCATTCTGAGTGCGCTGGGCGGGGACGTGAACAACCTGCTGCACTCGCAGGCGCCCATCGAGGACATCTGTGAAAACCGCTTCCTCTCCCTCGAACGCCTCATCGCCTTCCACGTACTGCCCAACCCCCCCCTCCCCACCTCTCCAACCCGCACTTTCCACCTGCCCCCCTATTGCCCCGCCCCTCCCTGCCCCTGCCCGTCCCAGCCCTGCCCCTCCCTCCCTGCTTCATCCACCCATAGCTGTACTTCCCCTTCCCACCCTCAATTTCCACTTTATTTCACTCGTTCCTATGACCTTCCATGGTGAATCTCATCTCATAGCACAATCATCATGCATCCCTTTGTCCTCCATCCTTCCATCTTTTCTTCCTCATGATTATTCGTCCGTCCCTTTCACACACTGGCATCCCCACCCCCGGTCACCCCGTGCCACTGCAATCCCACCGCTCAGGTTCTCTTCCATCGCATGGCATCAGTAGTGGCGTCACTGCCACCGCTGCGCTTCAACATCGCTCAGTCACAGTCGCGCCTGCGCATCGCCACCACTGCCGCCCCTGTCTCCGCGGCAGACCTCGAGAGGGAGTGGCTGGACAGCGTTGCAGACACCACCATGCATGACCTCACCTTGCACCGCCGCCCCCGCCACCACCACCACGTTCCACTCCTCCCGCACCCACACCACCACCACCATCACCATCACAACCACTCGTATCATGGAGGCACGTCCATGCACATCCCCTCGCCGTTCTTCTCCTCTGGCTCCACCTCTGGCCAGCACCACTCGCACCAGCACCAGCACTCGCACCACGGTGTTTCTCACCGAATCTCTGAAACGCTGCACCACCTGCTGCCACTGCACCTGCCCACGAGCCACTCTGCCGCCAACAACGCCAACACCACGCCAGCGCACACACAGCAGCACACCCCCTCCAGTGCACAGACCAGTCACACAGAGCACCGTGTGGGGGGGTCATACCATGGTGGCGGCGGGGGTGGGGGGTCGATGCGGGGCGGTTCCCACCACGGCTCGTCCCACCACGGGGGCTTTTTCCGCTCCATCCTGCCTCTCAGGTCCCCCTCTGCTGCCTCTGCCAGCGGCGGTTTTGGCCGCAGCGGCAGCGGCAGCGGCGGCGGTGGTGGCGGTGGCGGCAAGCTTGTCACACAGAGCTCTGGCGCTGGAGGTGCTGCTGCTGAGAGCCCACGGCAAGCCATTGATGAAGGCTCTGGTGCTGGTGGTGGTGGTGGTGTGGAGGGGTCGCAAGGCAGTGCCTCGGGCCGGGGAGCGCGGGTGAGCTTTGACGTGGGGGCTGAGCAAAGCGCAGATGCACGCATGCGGCGCCTGAGTGTGGACGTCACTCCAGGCAGCTCCCTGCGCGGCGGCATGGCGGGCGGGGTGACGTTTGGGGCCTGGCCTGGAGGTATGGGCAGCACTGCTGCCATGGCACTGAGTGGTTCGGTAGGCAGTGCGGCGCGAAGCAGGGCGGTGATAGGGGTAGATGTCTTTGATGGTAGTGTTGAGGGTGGTGCCGCGCGCTTGGGGGTTTCTCCTGGGGCTCTGCCTAAGGTGGAGGAGGTAGGGGTGCAGTCTCTGCGGGAAGAGAAGGGGGGTGAAGGTGCGGGGAAGGGCCAGGCAGGTGAGGGTGAGGAGGGGGACGGTGTGTTGACAGAAGCAGTGCGCGGTGGGGAGAGGAAGGTGAAGGGAGGAGGGGAGATTCTTCGGCTGTTGAAGGAGACGTGATGGGGGGGAGGATGTTGGTTTGGTAGCGAATCAATTAGATTACTAGATAATGCGGTTCAGGATAGCACGACGTTGAAATATTGAGATGATTGATGACTGCTGATTACAAAAGTGATGTCAAGTCAAGGTGTTGCAGATTCGCAGATTCAAGTGCTGCTGCTGTTGATACAAATGGTAGGAGGGCCTCAGAAGTCAGCGAAAAAAGGCTGATTTAGGTAAAAAAGGCTGAGATTTCAGACCTTTTTTAGAACTGAGGCTGATTTTTCAGCAATTTGTTGAAAATAAACAGGAAATTTTAATAGATTTGTAGTGTACAATGGCATAAAATGGCTGATTTGTCTGATTTTCAGGAAAACGTTTTGTACCAACTCTGATTTTTCAGCCTAGGCCAAAACGAATCTGAGGCCCTAGGACCCATCATGTCATACTCTGCGCTGCGCGCATACCTAGGCAGGCAGGCCTATGTGTTACCCGTAAGCCCCACAACTACCGAATAACGTTTCAGAGTTTTTGACAACTGTGTGGGTCACAACTGTACACAGTTTGCCTATCTTCTTTGTGATTCAGGTCTTGGGCTCTAAAGCAACCCTGCACTGCACGCTCGCAGACACCTGGCCAGTCCAGTAGAGGGCGTGCCGGTCACGAGGCGCTCTGCCAGTCACGACTCACGAGGCGCTCTGCCAGTCACGACTCACGAGGCGCTCTGCCGGTCACGACTCACGAGGCGCTCTGCCAGTCACGACTCACGAGGCGCTCTGCCGGTCACGAGGCGCTCTGCCGGTCCCACAGTAGGAAGATGGCGAGGGCAGCCAGGGGCACCACCCCCAGGGCAGCGAGCTGCAGGGCGCGCTCTGTATCCGCTGTTATCACTCCTATGCGCGACCAGTCGCCGCTGTACCTGCACGGTGCCGGGGAGAGGCGCGCGGGGGTGGGGGGGGAGAGGATGAGTGAGGGAGGGGTCAGAGGGGAGTGCGTGTGAGCCCTGTCTGTGAGCAGCAGGGCAATGAGCACGGCATGCTCTGTGTCCGCTGTTATCACCCCTATGCGCGCCCACTCTCCGCTGTACCTGCATGGTGCCGGGGAGAGGCGCGCGGGAAGTGGGGGAGGGGAGAGGGGTTGACTGAGGGAGGGCTCAGAGGGGAGTGCGCGATGGATGGCCCTATCTGCCAGCAGCGAGCTGCAGCACATGCTCTACCGCCATGCGCGCCCAGTCGCCGCTATCTCCGCTCTTATCACTCCTGTGCGCGCCCAGTCGCCGCTGTACCTGCATGGCGGTAGAGCGAGACGCGTGGGGCGGAGAGTGGGTGAGTGAGGGTTCAGTGGAGTGCGTGCGTGACAGCTCTGTGTGACAGCAGCGCGGTGGTGAGCTGGGCTGGACCTGTCGCTGAGTAGCCTGAGGGCTAGTTCATCCGTCTTCGCCATGCCACACCCTACTCCGCCGCGCCCGTCGCATCCCAGCAACCGCACAGCCGCTCGCACAGCCGCTCGAACAGTTGCTCGCACAGTCGCTCGCACAGTCGCTCGCACAGTCGCTCGCACAGTCGCTCGCACAGTCGCTCGCACAGTCGCTCGCACAGTCGCTCGCACAGTCGCTCGTACAGTCGCTCGCACAGTCGCTCGTACAGTTGCTCGCACAGTCGCTCGCACAGTCGCTCGCACAGCCGCTCGCACAGCCGCTCGCACAGTCGCTCGTACAGTCGCTCGCACAGTCGCTGAACATCGAATCAGAGCGGAACACCCCACCCGCCGCGTCCCAGCACGCCCCCAACGTCCCGCTCACCCCGCATCGACGAATCCCGCAGTGGCCAGCGCGATGGCGGCCTGCCCCGCCACCTTGGGCCGCACGCGCCACCCCGCGCTGCTCGCTCCGCCCTCGCCGCTCGCTCCGCCCGAACGGCTCCCCTGATCGCCCTCGGGAGGCTGTTGATTCGCTGCGAGACAACGCGCCGAGCGAGGGTGTCGAGAGGTGCGGGCGGAGGAGGAAGGCAGGTTGGCAGGTGGGCTGTACGCGAGGCAGAGCGGGGACGCAGTGCCGCGCCAAGCAGGCAATATTGCCGCCATGTCTGTGACAAGCGTTTGTGGTCGTGCGTGATGGTGGGATATATAGTTGCACCACGCGTGCGTGGCGAGTTCCACCAAGGCCGTATTCCTGGCTTCGTGTCATCCCATTTTATTTTTTCTAGTCGAGAATTTCCAGACTGTTCGGGTCTTTGATTCGGGAGGAGTTGAACTTCAGCAAGCATCGTGGACGAAACCACATTTTCTCCATAAAACGCAGTTGCCGTGCGAGAAATTGTACGATCTCAGAGGATCACCTCAGGTTGTTCGCACAGAGTTTAAAGCCCGCAACTAAAATAGTGACCCCCCCCCTTCTAGTTGGGTCCTGTTACGGGTGCAAAGTAGCGATGTAGCGAGGATTGAACTAAAGTGTCAAACGAGTACAAAGTATGAGCGAAGGCATGAGCGAATACTTATAAGCAAAGCATGCAAACGGTAACGCGGTGCGTGCGAGCTAGCTAGTGCGATGCTAGCAGCGAGGTCCGGGCTAGTTCCAAAGCGTAGGCCGACTTGGCCAGGCCAGCGATGCATGGTTTGGCAAATGCAGCGCGCGAAGGTTCTGGCGAACAAAACGGTTGGTCCTGTAAACGTGTTGAAGCACACGGTAAGGAATGCTGAAAAAATCCTTACACTATCCCTCCCCTCCCCCCCCCTCCTCCTTCCCCTCTCAAGAAGCCCCTCCGCTACGTGAGTGAGTGTATATCGCGGAAACCCCGGCTTCGCGGGTACACTTGCAGGGCATGGTGGTTTTCGATGTTGGCCAGAGGCACCCAGCTATCCTCCGTAAAGGTGCGGTCCTTCCAGCGAACGAGGAATTCAATTCTCCGAATTCCCGTAGGGTGGCGAATCCGATGGCTCAGTTTTGACGCGTCATCGATGGCGGGCGATGGCATGGTAGTGTCAAACTTATATGCTGCATATTATGTAGGCTGTAGTGGGGTTGCCCATATGGGGTACAACCCAAATTAGGGTTTACTACTTGTACTCCAGCATGCTGCTAGTTCACACATTCACGTTCGTACTTCTGACATGGTTTCAGAGCAGGTCCTAGCCTAGGACCGTTTTTTTTTTAGGGCCCACCGAGTAGCGCTACCCCACCCGTCGCGCCGCCGTGTTAGCGCCGCGCTGCGCTCTGCCCTGCCCGCGCGCCGCCCGCCGCAGCGCGCCCTGCCCTGCCCGCGCGCCGCCCGCCGCAGCGCGCCCTGCCCTGCCCGCGCGCCGCCCGCTGCAGCGCGCCCTGCCCTGCCTGCGCCCCGCCCGCTGCCGCGCGCCCTGCCCTGCCCGCGCGCCGCCCGCTGCAGCGCACCCTGCCCTCTGCCCGCGCGCCGCCCGCCGCCGCGCGCCCTGCTTTGCCCGTGCACCGCCCGCCGCTGCGCGCCCTGCCTTGCCCGCGCGCCGCTCACCGCCGCGCCGTCTTGCCTGAGCACCGCTCGCCAACGCGCCGCCCTGCCCTGCTGGCTGCCGCCCTGCTTTGCCCTGCCTGCGTGCTGCTCTGCTGCTAGCGCGCCCGACTGCTCTGCCCGCCATGGCCACGCTCAGTGTTCTCGCCTTTGATCCGGAGGGCCGCCTGATAGAGTTCGACGCTTGGCTCGACGACTTAGAGCTGTACTTACTTAGCGATTCCAAGGACGGTGTTTTACTGTTTGAACTCACGTCTGGCGCCTCTCTCGCCCCTGCCGCCACAGCTGACAGTGTAGCTCGCTCACGTGGCTTACTCGTGACGCTGCTGCTCGCCTGCACTTGATCCTCCACGTCGACCTCAGGATACCACACCAAGGTCGGCTTCGAACGATCCTCCTGGGCGACTCTCGCGCACCTCCACAGATCTCTGTCGCCGGGTAACTTGGTCGACCAGGAAACCACTAAGTCGGCGTCGACTTGTGTGTCGGCGTCGACCAGATGCTGCAGGTCGACGACCACCAGCCGACTTCACCAAGTTGGCTTCCCCAAGTCGGCACCATGAAGTCGGTGCCCCGGTCGACCTCGCCAGATCGACCACCCGAACTCGACGCCCTCCAAAGTTGGCGCCCTCTCCCAGGTCGACGTTCCCGTCGTCGACCTCGGTTGAAATCGGTCGCCGGCTCCCGAAGGTCGGCGGCACTGCAATGGCCCCGTGCAGATCGCCCAAGTCAGCGTCGCCCACTGCTGCAGGTCGGTTGTGCTCCCCACACACCCAACAACGAAGTCGGCTCCGCCCAAGCGAGGACTAGGCCAACATACAACTCCCGTTGACAGGTCTTGGGGTGGTACGATGAACTGAACTGTAGCCGGGTCCCAAACTGCTCCCAGCGGCTCTTCCACAAGTTGCTTCTGAAATTTGTGTCGCGGTCGCTGATGATCACTGCTGGTATCCCGTGCAGGCGAACGACGGTCGCGATGAACAGGCGAGCGGTTTCTTCGGCTGAGATCGATTTCCTGGACGCAGGGAAACGAGCCATTTTCGTCAGTCAGTCAACGACAACCATGACCGCGTCGTTACCACCAGGGCTCGAAGGTAACCCCGTAATGAAATCCATAATCTGCTGCCAGGCGCGCTCGGGGGGTGGAATCGGTTGCAGTTGACCCCCCTCTTTCATGTGCGAGCTCTTCATCACCTGACACGTGGGGCACATTCCCACGCGGTGCTGCACGATCGCCAACATTTCGCGGTCGTGTATCTTGTAGTTGCGCTCGGGCGGGTGAAGCTTGCGGGACTCGTACGCTATTGGCCGAAGGCCGTTTCTGAAGTCCTGCAACAGTACTGCTCCCACAGCGATGTCGCTTGCGTCGGTGATGAACTCAAACGGACAGTGTGGATCAGCGATGTGAAGCACGGGCGGCGAGCACAAAATATTTTTGAGGGCCGAGAAGGCAACTTGCTCTTTCTCTCCCCACGTATATTCAACCCCCTTCCTCAGCAGGTCGGTCAACAGGGCAGTCAAATTTGCCATGTCGAGGACGAA